GTACAACATGGACAGATCTGGTATGAAGAGCGAGTGTAAACGTATTCACAATTAACTCTGCTGTAAGCATTGATCGGAGCTGGGAGGTTGAACGCTGATATAATACACTGTGCAGCACATCAGTTTGATAGTTCATGTCCTTGATTTTTTAACTGATGCATTTACTTGTATACAAAATATTTCACCACATAAGATGATTTTAAAGATTTGATCATAAGGGTATATACTTACTGATCCTGAGGGGAAAATTGCCAATTGGCATTTCTTTTTTGGTTAAAAAGAGGGAGCAACTGAGCAGGTAACTTTCTCATAGCATGCAGCAGTAGGAAGCCTTTTTTGGGAGAGCCTTTAATGGAGAGATATGACAGTGGGTAGAGTTAGAAGTCAGGGAGAGAGAGAGAGTAGGGTATGACATGCGGGAGAGGAGCCACAGGTGGGATTGGAACCTGGGCCGCCCTCTTTGGAGGACCACGGCCTCCATACATGGGGCATGCGCACTAACCACTGAGCCACCAGCGCGCCAGGAACCATTTTTCTTGCCCGCCAAGTGTGTGTCTACAGAGTCTACTGCTTGCAGGAAAGAAGTCCCCCTATTAGGTCACAGGCATATCGAACAAAGAGCCAGAGTTGCAAAAAAGTTGCATTGTGGTTAGGTTTAGTTTGCTAATGGGAGTTAATCGTGTACGACATGACTTACCTGTCTCCTGTGTTTGTTTGCATCTCCTGACGTCTTCTCATCGCTTACTATAAAACTAGAAGTTACATCCTGGCTCTGAATGGTTTGTAATAAGATTCTGTATTGCAGTAGGAAATGAATTCCTATTAAAGATTTCCATAAACCAAAAGACTGACTGAGGAACGTTTGATCCACACAGAAACCATGTCGCAGCTTTAATCGAAACATCTGAAACTTTGAAGATCTGGTAGATGAACTGCTGCATCGTGCACAAACAAACTGTGTGAGGCATTAAGCAGCTGTGTCGTCTTCTGCATCCTCGTGTTGGACTTGTGAATCCTTCTCAGCGTGTCCCCACAGCTCCAACCTCTGATCCTATCATTTATTTAGCCCAGCAGCACCCTCTCCTCCCTCCCTTCCGCTGCACTTCCACCAAGGTAAACAGCTCTGTACAACTCTCGGCTCGAGGGTGTCCTTTGGTTGCACATTTATAAGCTTCAAATGAGTAAACCCCGCAGGACATGCGGCGGAGAATATCAGAGCAGTCTGCAGTCTCAGGTCAACAGCCGTGTCCTGTGGCGGAGGAGAGGAAGATGTAAAAAAAAAGAGACAGAAAGGAAGAATACAGATGAGTGTAGAAAAAGAGGTGTGTATAAAAAAAAAATGGAGTCAAAGGAGCAGATGTGATGATAGTACGAGTGTCGGTGTCACACTGCTGTTTCCCCCGAGGCTTGTTCAGATGGAGTGATTTGAGTCGCTGCATCTGTTCACGACTGCGGCTGAGATACACAAACAGCCCCCTCGATGCACACATTATACGCACAATGACAACCTCCATACAGTAAACACGCTTCACCTATGTGCAGAAACAGATTGCTTTGTTCCATGACAGTCACAGGTTAAATTCAAAAGGACAAAGAGTTGCAGCCGTGGTCGTCGTGGTGAATGGTTATTAGAAACAAAAAGCTTCGCAGTTCCTTCGGTGCACTGTTCAAGTGCCGCAAATGAATGATTTTAAGTGGCTGCGGTGGAATGCCAAAATACAATGTGCGTCGACAAAAAGTTCTTCTTTTCGCAACTGACGGGATCAAGTTGTTTATCAGTCTATTTGGTAAGGATCGCTATGGAGACGGACCTTTTGTTGAAGAGTAAGATACTGGTTTAAGAAGCCGGAAACAACCATTACACCGCCGTCTTCAAAGCAACCAGACTCCATTTACGCCCGCCTCGATCTCTTTGTGGTTTTCGTTTTTGCTTGTTAAAGAATTGTGTGAGATCCAAACTAGCACTGACGAAACAAAACCATCTCAAACCATCACATAAGCAAGACTTGCCAATGGAGGCGGAGGCAGACCAGCCACTCTTGTTTACTACAAGGTCAATTCATGCTCTCTGGTGGCTTTGAAGAGAGTGATGTAAAGGTGTTTTGAGCTTTACAAAAACTATTTCTCTGCTTGTTTATGTTTCTCTCGCAGGCTCAAACATGTCATTTCAGACATTTTTTTTTCTTTTCAAGTTTACCCCTACCTGTCCAAACGTTAACTCTGCCAGCACGTGGTGGAAGAGAGATGGCCTCGTTCACAAAGGGAAGCTGGAGGCATCAAAACAAGAGAGCAACTGACGGAGAACCAACAAACTTTCCAAACCAAACAGAAGACTTACGATGGCGTAAATAGACCAGCAGAAGGGTGGGGGGGGGGGATGAGCTTGGAATAGATTCTTTGTTTTGGTCTGAAAATCTGCTCTGAAAGTGGCATATACTAAGTTAGTACTTTCATCCCTTTTTGATAGAGGAAAGTAACTTGATGAAGGGGAATAATGCCAAAACAAGCCAGTAGGTGAGTCACAGAGGTGTTAGTGCACTTCTCATTATCAGGCTGTGATACAGACAGTGCAAGATGCGAGCTATTACAATAGTGACCTTTATTTTGGACTTCCCAATGCAGCAAAGTTTGAATAAAGAACCCTGGCGCTCAGGAGATGAACCAGCGACGAACCTTCACTAAATCGCTTTAGCTCACAAAATGCAAATCTGTCTTTGGGAAGTGATTTGCCGAAAGGGCACAACACACAAACTGTAGCAGCTCTAGCTCCAGCATAACCCCTAACACACTGTACCACACTTATCACACACACACACACACACACATACACACGCAGAGATTTCCAAGGCTAAGTGACCTGAATGCTCTCAGCTTTGAATGACATAAGTACCTGAGGGTCCTTGAGTTCTGCACCCAACCTGAACGCACTCATATGGCGACTGATGGCGACGCAGGACGCTCCTCCGTCCATCCATCAGAGCCTGCAGGTAATGTCTGCGAGCTCACGTAGCTTACATCAGCCAGGATAAAGGCCTCTATTAAGAAAATGAATAATACCAACTGAGGGGAGGTGACCTCGCACTGGTCACGTGACGTCAAGGCTGAGACACGATTGGCTGCTTTTGGCTAGTATGTTCTACCGGGGGGGGGGGCGGGCGGTCTGGAGGTTGACGGATGCTCGAGGCCGAGTGGAGATGGGCTACAGAGTCAGCCGTTTCAGTCCTGTGATCTAATCTGTTACCCATCATGCATCCTGCTTCACTAATGAAAAGGCAAGGTCCCATTTGTCACAGGCAGGGTAAATGGAATTTTAACCCCCCCAACCCCCTTCTCTTTTCACTGAACGCAGCTCCTCAAACATGTGCAAACAGGCCGTCGCGATGGACGGTCATTGCAAAAAAAAGAGTTCAGAGGAATTAATATCAAGAAGAAATCTAGTCTCCTTTAATGTCCTTTAAATGCTTCTCTGCCTTCTTCTACTCTGACTAGAAGCAAACCGTTTTAAAGCCTGTCTCTGTGTATCAGGACCTTTTAAGGAGGATCTGCGTTGTCTTTGTCATCGCTCTCCGTTTTGTAGGCAGCCCGGCGTCACCTCACTGAAGTGTCACAGCACTTGGTTGAAAGTGGTAGCAGCTGAAAATGGCTCTTAAAGGGTCAATCCTGACTTCACACAAGCGTAACAGCTGCAGCGTGAGTTGCGTGTGAAGTTGTGCGCGAGCATACCGCGTTGGCCTTGTGTTGGTTTTTGACGGGAGGCATCATGCTGCTTGAGAGGTTTTCAAAAAAGTGGGAATGACCTCCATCAGTCAGATGAATGAATGTCGTAAAGGCACAGAAGTCCTGAGCTGAGCTCGTTGTGACAGAAAGAATACTACCACGGCACAGGCTTTCGTATAGATGCTTAAAAAACCCACTGTAAACAGGTAAAAACTGATCAGGTTTTATGTGTTTAATTGATGCTTTTGATCGAGTTAATCATAGAAAGTTGTTTGTTAAGATGATGGAAAGACAAGTACCCAAATATATTGAGAGATCCATGAGACATTGCAAGGTAAAGAGAGGCCACAGACCCCGTTTGAAGTAAGTAATGGTAAACGTACTTCAGCTTGTACAGCGCTTTTCTAGTCTTCTGACTACTCTTAACTTTTATAAAATCAAAATGTACGAGTTATAAAGAAATTCACCCCCAGTAGAGTGTATGCCTGTAAAGAAATTACCTATTTATACAAAATTCTTTTCTAAACCAGGCTGTAAACATGTTTTTTGCTTTTTTTTTGCTGTAAAAAAAGTCATTCTTGAATGGTTGTTAAAGTGATTCCCATGACATTTACAGCCAGCCTGAAGTGGATACTCAAGGAACTGCAGGTTTTTTTTTTTTGAACTTCCCCACTGGCTTCATTTATCTTCTCCAGATGTCCCTTGATGAAACCAAATGTTCTTGTATTCATCTATTTTATTCTCTCTCTTATTAAGCACCCAAACATTCAGTAAGGCCAATAAGGATCCATTATTTCACTACTGAATTACAAAGGACTGAATCCTTTGAAAAGAAAAATGTCTTTGGCCTTCCTCAGAAGCTCAATGTCACCTTGCTGAAACAAAGTCCCCCGGTTATTCATCCATATTTTAACCAGCAGCGTCTCTGTTTGACACCCGGAGGTTCTTTTCTCTCTGTTCCCTCTCGTCGTCTTTCTCTGAGCTTAAATCCAGCACTTGAAGCTCCTCAGAGCTCCCAGCAGGAACACAGCGACCCTCTTTTCTCTCCGCCTTAACGGCAGAGACGAGACAAAACATGCAGCTCCTTGTTCCACAGACTGCCTCGATGTTGTGAAACCGAGCGGCAGGATTTTCAAGGAGCTGTGAGGATGTTTTAGAAAATATGGCTGCTACAGAAGATTAGAAACAAAATGAGGTTAACGTCGTCTCCTTTTTCATAAACCCCCACTCTCTCTCTCTCTCTCTCTTTCTGTCTCTGTCTGTGCGTCTGTCTGTCTCCTCAGGGTTTTTTCCGCAGAAGCATCCAGAAGAACATGGTGTACACGTGTCATCGGGACAAGAACTGCATTATCAACAAGGTGACGAGGAACCGCTGTCAGTACTGCCGCCTGCAGAAGTGCTTCGGAGTGGGAATGTCCAAAGAGTGTGAGTTTGAGACCCAGTTTGCAAAATGTGACGTGTAGAAACATTTCTTCATGGGATTAAAAGGAGTGGTTTTGTAACACCTGGACTCTGCTGTTTGAAAAGCTCTCTAACAAAACAATGATTTACAACAATGGAATGAATGGTCAAAATGTCAATCATGGTTTTTGCTGGATAAAAGTGAATAACCTTTGATGCTGATATACCACTTTGATGCACTTTTACACCACTATGACAAAGTTAAGTTTGATAAAACATACAATGTAATAGTTTCTTGTTGAAATGTACGTTGCAGCTTGTAAACGCAACATTTAAACTGGGCCCCTCCTTCTGGGCCTAAAAGGCACACACTCACTGCAGGACGTAGTGTGTGTACCTGCAAGCTGCTGCACGCTAACACAAGCTACCTGCCGGTGTTTGGCACCTTCCTGTCCAACAGGAAGCAGACCAACTCAGTATAAACTCAGATTCAAGTTATAAACAGCTTTAGTGTATACTTTATGGAACTATTCTTCACTGAAAACAAGAGGTTAAAAATCTGCCCAAATCATTTCATTTTCAATGAATGCATTTATTATGATCCAGCCAGGTCCAGTTTAAAAATGCTAAATGACTCTGAAAGCTCAGTGCAGTTATCAACGTTTGCACACCAAAGAGGCTCTCGATGCTTCAAACCAATTAGGAGAACAGAACATGAAGCAGCAGTTGTTTTATTGGCTGGATAGCTCGTTCAAACGTCCACTTCGAACGGCTTCTTCTTCAATATAACACGCAGATGCCTGACATGACAGGATTTAGTAACTAAATAATTCTTTTGTCTCATCCAGATATATGCTCCAGATTTATTTTGGGGACCAAATATGTCATTTTGAACAATGCCCACTTTTGGAGTTTTTTGTAATGCACTCCAGTCCAGACCCATAACCTCTCACATTATATTCAAAACATTTAGCGATGACATTATTGAACCCTCAAATGTGACGTTCATGTTATTGAGTACTGACATGAGGGAGGTCACGGCCTCCTCACAGATCTGATCTTTTCATGCCGTCTTTGTGTCTTCAGCAGAAGCTTCAGAGATGTTTGCATCACGCACGTTATGCTTGTCATTTTTAATTCACTAAATCTGTTTTCATTGCACTTTGCTGCATTCTGCTTTGATCAATACATCACTTTTTAACCTCGGCTAAGCATAAAAACTGACACACACGACCTTTATTTGGACGCAGTGTTGTAATGAGGGTGTGCCAAAGGTCTGCAGGGCTTTTAAGGGAGTGATTCAGCCATATTTAATTCAATTTCCTGCCTGCCTGCAGCTTGAAGACGCAGTTCAGCATTGTTTACTGTACGTGTAAAAAAACAAAGGATTTCCAGTAATAGACTGTGAGGAGAAAATGAGATATTATATGCAAATTAACTGCAAATGCAAATGATTGTGAAGTATGGTGGAGCAAAGCTGCAGTAACAAAGAAGCCGCTGTGATTGGATTTTGACCTAGAGGTTTGTCTGGTTTTAAAAAACTATTTGGCGTTGTCAACAAAGTCCATCTCTGTAGGAATCCTTTCTGTGACTAAGAACAACAATCTCACAGTCTGTCAGTGACCAAAACAAAAACTTTAAATATCCACACATGGATTACATTTCAGCCCTGACAGTTGTTCTTACCAAAGCGTATTGTATTCACATGAGAAAATAGAAATCTGCTCTTTTTTTCTGAATTAACAAGATAATTATCTCGGAATGACAAGTTACTTTTTCATGAAAAAAAATTGCTCTGTTCTTATAATTAACAAGATTTTTAATTAAAAATGTTCTGAATTAACGAGATACCAGTGGGCCTCCTCAAAATCCTAACAGAAGCTCTCATTTAGACCACTAAAAGAGGAAAACCTTCCAAGACTGTTCAGAAGTTATTTTGGTCTCGTTTTGAAACAAGGAGAGATACGCACGTCTTCAGGTTACAAAGATGGTGCCGTTATTAGTTCATCAACTTCGCGCAGGTAACTTGGATCTTTGCAATCCATACGCAAACCCCTCTCTGATCTATCAGGATCATCTGATCTCATAAGTCATGTTTCACTGACAAAACGTAATGCATTCGAGCTGGCAGCGCGGAGACTCGAGAGACATTCAGGTAACTGCTGAAAACTGGATCCCCACGCAGTGCAACTGAGGCCCCGATGTTGTGCAGAGAAAAGCAGGCACCGCGTAATCTTTAATTCTGAGATAATTATCTTGTTAATTCCGAAAATCACAGCAGATTTTATTTTTTAACCACTATAGTGCAACGCTCATTCACCATCATCATTCCAACCACTTTAGTTTCTGCTGAGATGGTTAATGCAGTCTGGCGGTTTCATTCAAACACAGTTTTTAACCCATTCTTCATTTATATAAAAAATATATTTGAAAAATTGTTTCGCCCAGGTATGAAAATACCAGTTCCCTTCCTTAATATGATTCCCATTATCACATGCAGTCTAATTCTGAGATTATTCATTCAGGCCTGCAGTCTCCCAGTAAAGATGCACAGGTTTGCATATTATCTAGAGGAATGTAGAGGCGAGGAAAGGTGTGAAAAGAGTTCTATTAGTTTTGTTCCCTGAATAAATTATCACCCACTTAAACCTTTCTAACAGCTGCAATTAAATAGAGTAAAGTGGGATTTTATGTAAAGGGGGCTGCACAGTGGTTAGCTCTGTTGCCTCACAGCGAGGAGTTTCCTGGTTCAAATCCCCGTCTGACAGGAGCCTCTCTGTGTGGAGTTTACATGTTCAACCCCCTTGCATTTGTGGGTTCTCTCCGGGTTCTCCGGCTTCCTCCCACAGTCCAAAGGCATGCTCGTTAGGTTCATTTGTGACTCTAAAATTTGCAGGAGGTGTGAGTGTGGCTGGTTGTCTGGCTCTATATGTCAGGCCCTGTGATTGACTGGCGTACAGTCCAGAGTGTACCACGCCTCTCGCCCAATGACAGGCTGGGATCGTCTCCAGAACCCTGCCACCCCGAACAGGAAAAGCAGTATAGATAATGGATGGTATGTCTGTAATGGACCGCCATAAAATTATCTAGACTTGTAAACATGGAGGCGGGGATATCAAATATTAACAAACAGAAGTATGAATTAAACGTTTAAGTGCTTTTTAAAAAAAAACTCTGAACAAATTGAGGTGCAACCACTTCCTGTTAACTTGTTTATCCAACCTGCTGCTTGGACTTTGTGTCCAAACAACAGAGAGTCAGGCCTAACAGGATCCACTTAAAAGGCCTGACACCAATTAAAATAGGCTGCTTCATGTCTTCAGACACGCTTTATAAAAGGAACTCGGTCACCTTCTGAGCTCAGAGCCCTCATGTCCCCTCTGCTCTATTGTCATCTATAGGAACCGTTTGCATTTCACAGGTTATTGGCATCCTTTGATTGCATCAGCATTTATGGCTCAGGTCCACTTCATGCTCCATTAGCTTCAGCAGAGGAGTCATGGAAAAGATGATGACTTGATATCCTGAGGCTAAACCCCCCACAGAGTCCCTGATGAGAAAAGGGGGACTATTCCCCTGCTTCTATGGGTGGAGGTGAGGGGGGGGGTAGCATCCTCACCTTGCTCTGAACACCTGAATGGTCTATGCTGAGAGGATTCTGCTTTTGGGACTACAGGGTTGGTACATTTATTTTTTTAACTATAACCGATACATACACTGTATATAGAGCTCAACGGTGTGGTTCAGGAAGTAAAAATCCAGTTCATTTTCTCCATAGCGGATTTGAATATTAGCCGTGACATCGTAACCATCCAAGGTAGACTTACCACGAGCTCCCTGAGTGTCAGTGCGAGACGAAGGTGTACGCTCCAGAAGACATGCGTTCCTATGACAATAACATTGTTTAAAGAAAAACATGGTTTATTCAGGATCACAGGAAAAGGAACTACACTACCCACAATCCTAGAGTATCACAGGGACGTCTCTGATTGGTGAAGCCCGCAGTTACCGTGGAAATGTAGATGGAAAGAAGGTTGGTGTACGATTTGAAAGAAGCGCTCTAAACTATTGTTTGTTGGGTCTCGTTGGAGTTGCAATGGATTGTGGGATGCGTAGTTCCTCCACACCCAGAAAAAATATGCATACCCTCTCGTTGACTTTTTCTCCATTTTACAATTGTTGTTTTGTACCAAATCAAATGATTTGAAGTCATAAGTGTTCAGGTATGTGGTTGGCTAGGTTCAAGGATTAAAAATATTGTTACAAGGATTTACTGAAAAGTCAAAGGAGGACTTAAATGGTGACTTAACGTCATTATTGTGTCTACTTTTTAAATTACAAATTTCACTGAAGACACGACAGCTAACTCATCCGTATAGCTCGTCACATTATGGAACAGTTAAGATCATTCCCATTTGGTTTGTCTATAAAATTTGAAAAAAACAAAACATTCTCAACTTATATTGACCCAAGAGAAGAGAAACTAAAAATGGCAATCACGGGCTATAAATGATCTGAAAGCTTGTGTGTTGTGTTTGTGGTTATTTCATAATGAGAGAGTAGAGAGCTCGGTCTGAGGCCTGAGCCAGAAATGAACATCTGCTCCTGGACACTGGACTCGTGCTATCATGTGCCTCTGCAGATAACTGAACGGATACTTAGAGTGGAGCACAAAGGGGGCAATATTATGAATGTGTGTGTGTGTGTGTGTGTGTACATGTGATTGTGTCTATGAGTGTGTGCTAATGCTGCAGCTCCAGCAGGTATGGGGTTGTATGCGTCATTACACAAGTTGTGTCTTTGTATTTTTTCTTTTTTAGTGGTGTGCGATCATGAGTCTCACACAATCATGAGTGTTGATGTGATGTTTTATTAATCTGGTGAATCTGCAGCGGGAGAGAGGGAGGAAGACTGTTAGACTGTGTGTGTGTGTGTGTGTGTGTGTGTGTGTGTGTGTGTGTGTGTGTGTGTGTGTGTGTGTGTGTGTGTGTGTGTGTGTTATGTTCGGTTGCATGGGCCTTGAG